TACTGAGCCACATTTTATACTTAGCTTTTGTTGTCCGCCTCCCCCAAAAAAGGTTAATTTTGCTACTTCATTAATAATAAGAGTGTTTTAAATATGGATGTAAAATACTTCCCAGTCCTAGGAAAGGCTCTGGATTTGGAGTCAGATGGCATAGATTTAGATCACTCTTCTGCCAATTAGTAACTGAGAAACCTTGGGGAAATCTTGACATATCTAGAACTTTATCTGTAAAATTTGAGGATATATATATATTATATAATACATATAATATATATATATAATATATATAATGTATATATATATAATATATATATATATATGTAATTATTATCATTAGGAAAGGAGGGCCTCAGAAGTTAAGAGACTTGCCTTAGGCCACACTGTCAATATAACAGCCAGGAATCAAGATTAAGGTTTTTCCAGTACTTTTCTTGTACCATGTCAGATTGAGGCTAGTAGAAGGGTATCCTAGAGAGTGATAGTTATTGCACTAGGTATAATATTATTTTTCAGAAAAATAGTTTTAGATGTGGCAGTAATATTAATATATTTTCTTTTTAATTTATTGTAGATAGATGGGTTTTAAAACTCATTCTTCACTAAAGTCTCTGGTATTAAAAAACAAACAAAAGGAAGGTGAACTACAAATCATCATGAACACAATATGTAAAATATAAATCAGTTTTTGATTGATCATTTATTTTTATTACATTCTTTATTTACATATATACTTTAATTCCTATAAATCATAGTAGGTTAAGAAGTGTGTATGCAATTGTGTGTAGGCTGACAGGATGCTGGCTCCAGTCAGCCCGTATGTTAGCTGATCTCCCTAGTTTTTGCACAGATGAGCTCCAGCATAGCTCAGCTAGCTGGCTAAGGTCCTCATTTCTACTAAAAGCAAAGCTGTTATAGTGACTAAAGGTCATTCAGACCAAAGGGTTGGACAACCTTCGTGCCTTGAGTGTTGCTTAGCTGGCAACTTCCCCCATTTCTGTGGAAGTTCCCTATTCTTGACACAGGATGACTTTCTGTAATGACAGCGAAAAGTTCCAAAACACCCCAACCATTCAGTTTCCTTTCTGATGTGCCTCCTCTGTGCCTATAAGAATGCTCTGTAAAGTCTGTTCTGGGTCTCTGACTACTGAGGAGTCATTGACCTCTTTTATTGATAATTGTTAATAAATTGATCATTCTGGGAGCTCTTCACCTCAGTTTCCCTTATTCACAAATTTTTATTGTGACAAATATAAAACGCTTCAGAATTTAAAAACATAGTTTTCTAGGATGATCACATGAAACTTGTAATTATAGATCAAAAATCAAAGAATTAACCTGGGCAACTGAGGAAAGGAAAATACTATCCCAGGCCTAGGAGGAGAATGAACTAGAAGCAATCTAAGGATTTAGGAAATAGCTCTGAAAATTTTAGAAACTTTTCTAGAGACAAAATAGTATTATCCTGCTCAATGTAGATCTTCCCCCCACCCTCCCAACCATCTTGCATTGTTTTATTAATTGTGGATTTCTGTTGAGCTTGTTATCATCCGTCAGCAAAGTCTCAATCTAGGTACTTGAAAATGTAGGTAAGGGATCTTGGATGAGGATCATTGTATAGATAATACTGCAACTCAAGTTGTCTCAGAAATTCCCTGATTCAAATAGTTCATGTTTTGAATAGAGCTTTAAATTTTAAAGACAACTTACTCTTCTGTGAGTTAAGATAAAATAGATTAGTAAAGAAACTCAGAGAAATGAGGTGACTTGCCTGAAAATGAGGTGAGGTGAACTGAAATGAGGTGAGGAATGCCATAGATAATCTTCATGACCACTGCTCTTCTCACTATATGACTTTAAATTTTATGAGAGTTTAGAAAAGTACCTGGGAACCTGGAAGAGTACCAGGCCATTAGATGAATTAACCTCATCCAGGAGCCAGCAGGAATCAATCTACCAACTACTGCAATTCTAGCCACTGTTGTCACTGATGAAAGAGAAGACTTTTGTCACTCAGGAGACATTATTGCATGTAGAGTTAGTCTATCTCCAGCAGTAAAAAAATAGAAATTTAACAACCATATGGCAAATTTTAACAGTAACTTGAGATTTTCTTGATGTTGTCTCCATTTTTCTGCATTGTCTGTGTAACCTCCCATTTCCATCTCACTTAGTAGATGTTCCATGCCCCTGTCTTATGTATGATAGCCCCCTGTGACAGTGGTCAAATGATTTACCACAGGTGAATATGGAAGAATGGATATCACTTACATCAGTGTCTAATGGTGAGGGCAGGGCTAAGTCATGGGGAAAAAAAAAACAACAACATTGTATTATTCTTTCACAGTGCTGGTTATTGATCTGTGTTTATACATACTTGTCTGGTGTCTTCCATTCTGGTTTTTTATAACCTTTAATGTCCTTTGCTCTTTTTGTGACATAAAAAGGGAGGGCTGATATTTACATAATAATAACAGCAAAATCAGTTTTGTTTTTTTTTGTTTTTAATGCAGATACAAGATATTGAAATAGAAAAATCATACCTGGAAATTACATTGTCTCTGTTATTTTGTCATAATTTACATAAATTTACATCATTCACATTACATAAATTACAATGTCATTTAAATTACATTATCAACATTGTCACTTTAAAGTAAAAATCCCACTAGCTAAATATGTCCAACTCACATTATAGGTGCCTAGTATTATTTGTGAGGTACATTGCTAATTTTTATGTGTGATAACTAAAGTCTACAATTTTATTAGACTTTTGGAGATGAGAGAGAAAACCTTCACAGTTCATCTCTGTTCTTTGTATCATGTTAATTGACCCCTAGAATTTTGTAAATTTTTAAAAGCTGGAGCAGTAGGAGAGAGAAGAGAGGGAGAAAGACAGGGAGGGATGAGAGACAAAGAGAGAGGGAGTAGTGGGAGAGAGACACAGACAGACAGATAGACAGAGGGATAAGGGAGATAAGGGAGGAAAGGAGAGAAGAGGGGAAAGAGAGAGAGAGAGAGAGAGAGAGAGAGAGAGAGAGAGAGAGAGAGAGAGAGAGAGAGAGAGAGAA